ATGTGCTTCTTGGCCATCTGTATGTCTTCTTTGGAGAAATGTCTATTCAGGTCTTCTGCCCATTTTTGGATTGGGTTGTTTGTTTTTTTAATATTGAGCTGCATGAGCTGTTTATATATTTTGGAGATTAATCCTTTGCCCGTTGATTCGTTTGCAAATATTTTCTCCCATTCTGAGGGTTGTCTTTTGGTCTTGTTTATGGTTTCCTTTGCTGTGCAAAAGCTTTGAAGTTTCATTAGGTCCCATTTGTTTATTTTTGTTTTTATTTCCATTTCTCTAGGAGGTGGATCAAAAAAGATCTTGCTGGGCTTCCCTGGTGGCTCAGTGGTTGAGAGTCCGCCTGCCAATGCAGGGGACACGGGTTCGTGCCCCGGTCCGGGAAGATCCCATGTGCCATGCCGCGGAGTGGCTGGGCCTGTGAGCCATGGCCGCTGAGCCTGGACGTCCAGAGCCTGTGCTCCGCAAACGGGAGAGGCCACAACAGTGAGAGGCCCACATACCACAAAAAAAAAAAAAAAAAAAAGATCTTGCTGTGATTTATGTCAAAGAGTGTTCTTCCTATGTTCTCCTCTAAGAGTTTTACAGTGTCCAGTCTTACATTTAGGTCTCGAATCCTTTTTGAGTATGGTGTTAGGGAGTGTTCTCATTTCATTCTTTTACATGTAGCTGTCCAGTTTTCCCAGCAGCACTTATTGAAGAGACTGTCTTTTCTCCATTGTATATCCTCGCCTCCTTTGTCATAGATTAGTTGACCCTAGGTGCGTGGGTTTATCTCTGGGCTTTCTATCTTGTTCCATTGATCTATATTTCTGTTTTTGTGCCAGTACCATACTGTCTTGATTACTGTAGCTTTGTAGTATAGTCGGAAGTCAGGGAGTTTGATTCCTCCAGCTCTGCTTTTTTCCCTCAAGACTGCTTTGGCTATTCAGGGTCTTTTGTGTCTCCATACAAATTTTAAGATTTTTTGTTCTAGTTCTGTAAAAAAAATGCCATTGGTAATTTGATAGGAATTGCATTGAATCTGTGGATTGCTTTGGGTAGTATAGTCATTTTCACAATGTTGATTCTTCCAATCCAAGAACATGGTAGATCTCTCCACGGGTCTTTTGTCTCCCTAGGTAGGTTTATTCTTAGGTATTTTATTCTTTTTGTTGCAGTGGTAAATGGGAGTGTTTCCTTAATTTCTCTTTCAGATTTTTCATCATTAGTATATAAGAATGCAGGAGATTTCTGTGCGTTAATTTTATATCCTGCAACTTTACCAAATTCATTGATTAGCTCTAGTAGTTTTCTGGTGGCATCTTTAGAATTCTCCATGTATAGTATCATGTCATCTGCAAACAGTGACAGTTTTATTTATTCTTTTCCAATTTATATTTCTTTTTCTTCCCTGATTGCCATGGCTAGGACTTCCAAAACTATATTGAATAATAGTGGTGAGAGTGGACATCCTTGTCTTGTTGCTGATCTCATAGGAAATGCTTTCAGTTTTTCACCATTGAGAATGATGTTTGCTGTGGGTTTGTCATATATGGCCTTTATTATGTTGAGGTAGGTTCCCTCTATGCCCACTTTCTGGAGAGTTTTTATCATAATGGGTGTTGATTTTTGTCAAAAGCTTTTTCTGCATCTATTGAGATGATCATATGATTTTTCTTCTTCAATTTGTTAATATGGTGTATCACGTTGATTGACTTGCGTATATTGAAGAATCCTTGCATCCCTGGGATAAATCCCACTTGATCATGGTGTATGATCCTTTCAATGTGTTATTGGATTCTGTTTGCTAGTATTTTGTTGAGGATTTTTGCATCTATATTCATCAGTGATATTGGTCTGTAATTTTCTTTTTTTGTAGTATCTTTGTCTGGTTTTGGTATCAGGGTGATGGTGGCCTCATAGAATGAGTTTGGGAGTGTTCCTTCCCTTGCGGTTTTTTGGAAGAGTTGGAGAAGGATGGGTGTTAGCTCTTCTCTAACTGTTTGATAGAATTCACCTGTGAAGCCATCTGGTCCTGGACTTTTGTTTGTTGGAAGATTTTTAATCACAGTTTCAATTTCATTACTTGTGATTGGTCTGTTCATATTTTCTATTTCTTCCTGGTTCAGTCTTGGAAGGTTATACCTTTCTAAGAATTTGTCCATTTCTTCCAGGTTGTCCATTTTATTGGCATAGAGTTGCTTGTAGTAGTCTCTTAGGATGCTTTGTATTTCTGCGGTGTCTGTTGTAACTTCTCCTCTTTCATTTCTAATTTTATTGATTTGAGTCCTCTCCTTTTCTTAATGAGCCTGACTAATAGTTTATCAATTTTGTTTTCTCAAAGAATCAGCTTTTAGTTTTATTGATCTTTGCTATTGTTTTCTTTGTTTCTAATTCATGTACTTCTGCTCTGATCTTTATGATTTCTTTCCTTCTGCTAACTTTGGGTCTTTTTTGTTCTTCTTTCTCTAACTCCTTTAGGTGTAAGGTTAGATTGTTTATTTGAGATTTTTCTTGTTTCTTGAGGTAGGCTTGTATAGCTGTAAACTTCCGTCTTAGAACTGCTTTTGCTGCATCCCAAAGGTTTTGGATCATTGTCATTTATCTCTAGGTATTTTTTTATTTCCTCTTTGATTTCTTCAGTGATCTCTTGGTTATTTAGTAACGTATTGTTTAGCCTCCACGTATTTGTGTTTTTTACCCTTTTTTTCCCTGTAATTCATTTCTAATCTCATAGCCTTGTGGTCAGAAAAGATGCTTGATGTGATTTCAATTTTCTTAAATATACTGAGGCTTGATTTGTGACCCAAGATGTGGTCTCTCCTGGAGAATGTTCCATGTGCACTTGAGAAGAAAGCGTAATCTGCTGTTTTTGGATGGAATATCCTATAAATATCAATTAAATCTATCTGGTCTATTGTGTCATTTAAAACTTCTGTTTCCTTATTAATTTTCTGTTTGGATGATCTGTCCATTGGTGTAAGTGAGGTGTTACAGTCCCCCACTATTATTGAGTTACTGTCAATTTCCTCTTTGATAGCTGTTAGCATTTGCATTTGCCTTATGTATTGAGGTGCTCCTATGTTGGGAGCATATATATTTATAATTGTTATATCATCTTCTTGGATTGATCCCTTGATCATTATGTAATTTCCTTCCTTGTCTCTTGTAACATTCTTTATTTTAAAGTCTATTTTATCTGATATGAGTATTGCTACTCCAGCTTTCTTTTGATTTCCATTTGCATGGAATATCTTTTTCCATCCCCTCACTTACAGTCTGTATGTGTCCCTAGGTCTGAAGTGGGTCTCTTGTAGACAGCATATATATGGGTCATGTTTTTGTATCCATTCAGCAAGCCTGTATCTTTTGGTTGGAGCGTTTAATCCATTCACGTTTAAGGTAATTATCGATATGTATGCTCCTATGACCATTTTCTTAATTGTTTTGGGTTTGCTTTTGTAGGTCCTTTTCTTCTCTTGTGTTTCCGACTTTGAGAAGTTCCTTTAGCATTTGTTGTAAAGCTGGTTTGGTGGTGCTGAATTCTCTTAGCTTTTGCTTGTCTGTAAAGCTTTTGATTTCTCCATTGAGTCTGAATGAGATCCTTGCCGGGTAGAGTAATCTTGGTGGTAGGTTCTTCCCTTTCATCCCTTTAAGTATATCATGCCTCTCCCTTATGGCTTATAGAGTTTCTGCTGAGAAATCAGCTGTTAACCTTATGGGAGTTCCCTTGTATGTTATTTGTCGTTTTTCCCTTGCTGCTTTCAATAATTTTTCTTTGTCTTTGATTTTTGCCAATTTGATTACTATGTGTCTTGGCGTGTTTCTCCTTGGGTTTATCCTGTACGGGACTCTCTGCGCTTCCTGGACTTGGGTGGCTCTTTCCTTTCCCATGTTAGGGAAGATTTGGACTATAATCTCTTCCAATATTTTCTCAGGTCCTTTCTCTCTCTCTTCTCCTTCTGGGACCCCTATAATGCGAATGTTGTTGCGTGTAATGTTGTCCCAGAGGTCTCTTAAGCTGTCTTCATTTCTTTTCTCTTTACTCTGTTCCGCAGCAGTGAATTCCACCATTCTGTCTTCCGGGTCACTTATCCGTTCTTCTGCCTCAGTTATTCTTCCATTCATCCCTTCTGGTGTAGTTTTCATTTCAGTTATTGTTCATCTCTCTTGATTTGTTCTTTAATTCTTCTAGGTCTTTGTTAAACATTTCTTGCATCTTCTCCATCTTTGCCTGTATTGTTTTCCCGAGGTCCTGGATCATCTTCACTGTCATTATTCTGAATTGTTTTTCTGGAAGGTTGCCCATTTCCACTTCATTTAGTTGTTTTTCTGGGGCTTTATCTTGTTCCTTCATTTGGTAAATAACCCTCTGCCTTTTCATCTTGTCTATCTTTCTGTGAATGTGGTTTTTGTTCCACAGGCTGCAGGATTGTAGTTCTTCTTGCTTCTGCTGTCTGCCCTCTGGTGGATGAGGCTATCTTAAGAGGCTTGTACAGTTTTCCTGATGGGAGGGACTGGTTGTGGGTAGAGCTGGCTGTTGCTCTGGTGGGCAGAGCTCAGTTAAACTTTAATCTGCTTGTCTGCTGATGGGTGGGGCTAGGTTCCCTCCCTATTGGTTGTTTGGCCTGAGGTGACCCAACACTGGAGCCTACCTGGGCTCTTTCGTGGGGCTAATGGCACACTCTGGGAGGGCTCACACCAAGGAGCACTTCCCAGAACTTCTGTTGCCAGTGTCCTTGTCCTCACAGTGAGACACAGCCACCCCCCGCCTCTGCAGGAGACCCTTCAACACTAGCAGGTAGGTCTGGTTCAGTCTCCCCTGGAGTCACTGCTCCTTCCCCTGGGTCCTGATGTGCACACTACTTTGTGTGTGACCTCCAAGAGTGGGGTCTCTGTTTCCCCCAGTCCTGTTGAAGTCCTGCAATCAAATCCCGCTAGCCTTCAAAGTCTGATTCTCTAGGAATTCCTCCTCCTCTTGCCGGACCTGCGGGTTGGGAAGCCTGACATGGGGCTCAGAACCTTCACTCCAGTGGGTGGACTTCTGTGGTATCTATTCTCCTTTTTTTTCATTTAAATCCTTCCAAGTTATGTAATCAAAATATGGTTTTATAATTTTCCCCATTCATTCATTATCCCCTTTAGCTATTTGATTCAGGTTAGGTCAATTAAATATTGAACTATATGTAAGGCAGATTTATAAACTATAAAATAAATAAGAGATTTCTCCTACTCATAAGAAGTTTCAGAGTAATATGTTTTTCCTCACCTCTGGCTGCAGGCAAGAATCCCTTGGGCAGGACTTAAAAACACTGATGTCAGCACTCTAGTCCCAGGAACTCTGATTTAAGTGGTTTGGGGTGGGGTCTATGCCATTTTTTAAAAATTGAAGTAGATGTACAATATTATCTTAGGACATTGCTTTAATGTGATACTAATGTGCAGCAAGGGCTGAGGACCACTAAGGTAGGCACATGGGTTATGCATGAAACAGCTGTACTGCAAAGCAGAATATAATTTAACTGTTAGAAGAAAGATACCATCACTAAGATAAGGTCTCCATTCCCCACAGCTTCCTTCTAACCGCCTGCCACTGTCCCCACTGTGTTCTTGGTACGTTGCCTCACCTCTCTTCTCTCATAACTCCCTACAGTTACTCCAGACACAGCATTTATCAGTAACTTTTTTTTTTTTTCCATTTATCCATAACCAGTGATTTTGCTTCTGGACTAGATTCCCTGAGTCCAGGGACCAAGGTCTGCGGTCAGATTAATGTAATTTCACATCTGGGCAGCTCATGATACAGACAAGTTTCTTAACCTCTATGACTCCCAGTTATTTTTCTATAAGGTGTCAAAAATAAGAGTGCCTAACTCATAGGGCTGGCATGAGGATGAATGAAGTAATGCCTGTACAGCACTTAGTTCAGTGCCTGGAACATAGTGAGTGGACCATGAATGTTAGTTATTGTCATTACTAGTTTCTCTTGCCCCATACTGATTTGTACTTGTTAAGCACTTAATAAGTAAAAATACCACTTTACTTGACTTCACAGGCCAGATTTATTGAACTCCTACGAGTGTTAAAGCACATCTTTAACAAGAGGCAGGCTGCTGGTAGTCCAAACAATGCCTCTGTGCATCTTAGAAAAAGGATCCTGTGCTGGTTTTGCTGTTCTCCACATTTCCCTGCCTGGTCCCTGCCAAGTCCCTGCCTTGGGCGGCTGACCTCTCTTCATTGCCTCACTTGGGCTCCCTTGCCAACAGACTGGAGTTCTGCCCATGGGAGACCCCAGAAGGAGAGTAGAAGGGCAGAAGGAGAGATAGGACATTTATCTCTGCTCCTTCCCTGCTTGGGGCTGCATTTCTGGTAGGGGCTGCATCTGTCCACACCTGCACCTCCTGTCAGGAGTGGGGCCCATCCACCATCACTCCAACTTCCACTGGCTTCTGAGAGCACCATTTCCTTCCCTTGCTGCTGCAGGTCCAGGAGTGGTGATGGCTTCCTGCTCTTGCTAGTTTCCAAGTGCAATATCCCTTCTTGGTTTCCTTAGCCCTGTCCACACATGGGGAGGGAGGGGAGGTATTCCTTCATTAAAGTCTTTTGAGCTATCTGAATTGAACTATTTACGATTAGGTGCCTGGCTGATACCTGCTCCTTCCTCAAGGACGTTTTACTGCCCTCTGCTGGAAAATTGTGGTGAGCAATTTACATTTACATTTATTAGGTCTCCAGTGAGAAATGGTGCCGCTTAGATGTGGGTTGAAGTAAACAACTCAAAGCACAGCAAAGTCAGAGGTCAAACATTTATAACTTAATATAACTCACCACCTCGTGCCTCATAAAGGAACACCAAAGCCTCCCCACTTAGTTATTCAGAATGTCCTCTATGGATACTTCCTCATCCTGTTTCTCTCTCCTGTCCTGTCACTCAGCAGCCCTCCTCCAGGTCTCCTCGTTGACTAGTCTGCCCTCCTTCCCCACCAAGGAAATAATAATAATTTGGGGGAACATATTTATATTAAAAATTATTTGTGTTTATCTGAAGTTTAAAATTTAATGGGGCATTCTGTATTTTTATTTGCTTAATTTGACAACTACTCCCTGGGCCATTAGCTGTCATTGGCAGCTCAGACCTTGTTCTAGGTTCAAACCCATAAGAGGAATGTGGTTGATTCCAGAGTCACATTTCTACAGGGCAGGTCTGATTTGGCCTAAAAAATATATTCCCTTCCCATTGCTTGTCTGTCACTTAGAGAAACTTCTCTTTATCAGCACTGGTGTGTTTCTTCCAAGTGCAGCCATGCCCTTTCCAGGATGTCAAAAGAACTAATAGTACCATTTACAGTTGAAATGTTAATTATATTTGTTTCCATAGGACCCAGATAATGAACTCTGTGAAGTAAAGGAAAATTTTTATGATTTGTGTAATTTTTAGTCTCAACTTTAATATCTTAATATTATTTATTGATAAATTGATAATAAATGGTCATTTAATTACTCCATTTTTAATATGGCATTTTGCTTATATGCTGGTATACATTGCCACATATCATCATTTATCCCAAAGGCATTATTAAAACACTGCCAGTTATTCAATTTTCTACCAGTTCAAAAAATTACAAAAACACCAAAAATAAAAAAACAAAACAATTAAGGATCTTTCTGTGTGATGTGTCTGTCTCTTTGTTTTGTTTGTATTTACCTGATCGTTCGTCAATAAATATTTTAGATACATATAGTGAACAGGACATTTGATAGGTACAGTGTGCAAGCAGTGTAAGAACCTCTCACTGGCTCTCCGAACTTCATACTTTGACAAGGGCACCACAGATGCTTGGCAATTTGTATTAGTTATTGATATATAACAAATTAATCCACCAAGTCTTCATGGATTAAAACAACAGCATTTATGTCTCATGGTTTCTGCAAGTCAAGATGTGGGTGCAGCTTATCTGGGTCCTTTGCTCCAGAGTCTCTCACAGATTGTGTGAGGTTTGCCAGGGCTCTGGTCTCGTCTGCAGGCGTGAGTGGGGAAGTTGCTGCTCCAAGCGTCCATTTGGTTGTAAGCAGGATTCACTTCCTTCGCGGTTGTTGGGCTGAGGGCCTTAGTTCCTCGCAGGCTGTTGGCTGGAGGCTGATCTCAGTTTCTTTCTACACAGGACTCTCTCTACAGTAGCTCAGAACACGGCAGCTAGTTCCTATCAGAGCAAACCAGCAAGAGGGCCAAAGAGTGCCGGCAAGGAGGAAGTCACATTCTTTTGTAACTGAATCAAGACAGAAGTCACAGCCTTTTGTAACTTAACATCCTAATACTTTTATGACATTCTCTTTGTTAAAAGGAAGTCTCTAAGTCTAGCCCTTAGGAGAAATTAATGTTGGGATGAAAACTGAGTCACCTTTATTAACTTTACTCTCTAGCTTTTGTTTTCCCAAAACTGACCTTATTGAACTGTTTACTTTGAGGGACAGAGAAGAGAAGGGAGTGCTTTATAAGTGATGAAGAGGGGGCAGGAGAGATTTCCTCAGGAATAGAGAAAAATTGGAAGTCAAGGAACCTATTGAGAGCTACAGGCCTAGGTTTGAGTGGAGTGGGGGATCAGAGTTGATTTTAAGTGGATTTAAAGATAATAAATGGATATTTCTTATATACACATGTAAATATATGGACTGAGAGGCATAGTCACTTGTGATATTTGTTTTTTCATTTTAAGAGTAGGTGTGGGATTGAGAGGGGAATAACACGAATGTTTTAAACTAACTGCATTTATGGATTTAAATCTTGGTGTGTCTAATTTAAATTGGTTGTTTGTAGAATTCTGTAAAGCCTATTAAATCATGTTAGGTAGAATTAGTTCCAGAAAATTATCGATGCTTCCACCAGACTTTGTATTCCTTTTCATAATTATTTTCCAATACATGAAATGCCGTGAAAAGACCAGAACAAATGAGTGTTTGCTCCTTTAACTTGTTTTTGAGTTATAGAATACGGTGTTTATTGGATTTAGGAGATAAAAATATTACAAACATTTTCATGTTTGAGATAAAATCTCAGTAAAATGAACAAAACCGATGCGCCCCATGCCTCATTCTTAATTCTGTTGCTCCTTTCATTTGAAAAAAACTTCAGACATTTAGTATGAGCTCTCATTTCCTCTGCCTTGGGCCCCCTAACCAGCCTGCATTCCGATGCTGCCATCCTGGTCTCCGCTGGACTCCTGCCAGAGCCTCCCAGCAGCTCCCCGCCACTGCCACTGCTGGCCCTCAGACAGCTCCTCTACACTGCAGGAGAGCGATTTTAAAACAAACAAACACATACACAAATGATGTCAGACCACCCCACTCCCTCCTCAAGACCCACCCAAAACATCTCATCCAACTTTGAGTAAAGCAGAGACTCCTTAGCTCTCCTGAGCCAGCCTTTCCAGTGTCAGCTCCGCTCGCCCCTCACTCTGTCCACCCTTTGTTCTGGTCCTTCCTCAGGCTTACTAAACTCTAGAGCCTAGTTCAGATGAGTCAAGCACACTGGAAAATGAACCAATGAGTTCTAAAAAAAAAAAGAAATCTCCCCGAGGTGGTCTAAGTATACATACTGATTATTTTTAATAGATACATTTCCCATTAGCTTTTGCCTGCATCCATTCAGGTTCTGTCTCATGTATTAGCTTCTAGTTCATTCTGTCAAATGACTGAATATAATCGAGACCCTCGTGTGGGAAGCAGATGAATGCAGCCTTCTCTGCTATTACTCTCCGAGGTGAGTGAAGATGACCTGTTTGGCTGTTCAGCTAATTTTTGCTGAGAGTTAAAGGATGGATAATGTATCTGTGTGATGAAATTTAGCAGTAATACCTGTGGGCTAGATATGTCATGGTATTTGGGCTCTGGGTAGTGGATTGTGAGTCCAAGGCAAATTTATTTGCTATTAAATCCTCTCTCCTTCAATTCACCAGTCCTCATGAGTAGACATCTTCTAGTTTTCAAAAATATCCTATCTGTCAGCAACTTTGGAAGCTCCCCCTGCCCCCCCCACCACCAGTGGCCATGCCCTTAGAAAGGAGATACATTTTCTTGATTAAGAAATGTACTATCAAGGTGGGCAGGCTTGAATGGGATGGAGAAAATGGAGGTATTAATCATTCCCAGTGCTCTTGGAAAAAGGAATTTCTATTTTAGCAAAGCAAACCATTTCTCTTTGGTTAAATAACAGAAGTGGACTCTAAACTCTCCTTACCTTTGGGTCCTGTCTGAGAGCCTAAATCTGTGCAGATTCCATAGGGCCCAGTTCCTTCTCTATGGTATTCTTTCTCCCAGCTGTCTCTGTGTGGTGGACAGAATTGAGGCCAAGTTTAGGTCACTTTTCCTGGAGATTTTATATTGACTCATATAGTTCTCCCAGAGCACATCCTGCCTAAAAGGCTTCACGTTCTCAAGCGAAAAATATGACTATTTATAAGCCATAGAAATACATATTAAGAGATGATAAAAACACAAAATGGTACCTTAAAAGCTTTCATCACTTTCTCTAGAGAGTCAGTGATATGCCTGTCAGGCACCTACAGTGTGCTTAGTACTTCTCTAGGATGAATAAGCCATTTATTGGGGCATGCTGTAATGACAAATGTACAACAATGAGTAATACACAGCATGATAGAAGACAAAACCGGGGACTGCAGGAACCAAAAGGATGGAGATCAAGAGGACTGAGGTAATCAGCAAAGCCTTCAAAAGTCTTCACTGGTGAGAATGATTTGCCTTGGAGTCAAAGACTTTTCCTTATGGAACCTGCACAGTAGCTTCCCTAGTTTTTTGTGTTTGTGTTTGTTTTTTATTTTTATTTTTCAAGCTCTTGTTCCGTTCCCTCAGAAATGTGATCATTTAGGCTACAGCTGGCCGCTTCTAAAGAGACCTAAGTCCTCCTCTATCCTCCTACTTACTGGGGACTCCAGATGTTTGCAATGTACAGTTCGGCTTATAGAACCATCCAATCCCATTTCCGCCTTCAAATCTGGACTCAGGTTTCTTTGGAGGCAGCACAATAACTTCTTACCAACACTAGAACCTGATCACCACAGATGATTTATCCTCTGTCCAAGAGCCTCAGGATGGGGGCCGAAGGGCACTCTCCTGACCCCCAGCACCACTAGTAAAGCATTACTCCTGCATGCTCACATGCAAGGCTTTCTCTTTGAAGGTTCAGGCCTTCCACCTTTCTGCTCTTCACGGCTGTCTTAGCTGGTCAGTCTTCCACACTCACTAATGACTGTGGGCTGTGACTTATATCTTCCTTTTCATCCCAAGCTCCACTGTCATTCTTGAAAGAAGCACAAGCGTTGGAATCAGAGAACTGGCTTTGAAACACAGCTCTGCCCTCTACCAATTGTGTGACCATAGGTACATTGCATAATATCTCTGACCCTTAGTTTCTCATGTAAAACACGATAATGGTGCTTACTTTAAAAAAAAAAGGCTCAGGGACAAGCAAATTGCTCACCACAATGGCCAACTCATAGAAAGTGATACATAAATTTTTGCTTGTGAGGATTGCTATGATGTGGACAGCTCATCTAACGCCCTCTGTTCATGGTTCTCAGATCTCAACAGCTCCGCCAACCTTCACACTGCCCTGCCACTTTCAGCTTTGGGCTACACCCAAGCAATCTGAATCATTCCTTCTGCAAAATCCTAAAAATCTACATTTTTTACACCACCTTCTTCTATTGTTCTAGCCCTCTTATTTCTCTGTTCTTCAATGTTTCTTGATCTTCAGTTCCTCCTTGTTCTCCCCCATCTCTTTTCTTGTGTCTCAAAGAAGTATAGACCACATGATGTGATGTTATTAATAACATTCTTTGACAGTTCTCTTGCTTCCTCGTCTTTCCTCTGCATCTTTCTGGCAAAACCCTACCGCTAAATCAATGCCCAGTCTCCAGAGAGCTATTAGAAAAATGAAGTTACACTTCAGTGAGGATCTGTAAGTTCACAGTCTCCCAGCCTAGCTCTGGTGAGCTGCCTCCATCATGCCTTACATTTCAACCCATAACGTTCTCCTTGAGATTCCTACATGTCACCTCCCTGAAAGCTCCCAGCTGAGGCTCTTGCCATCTACATCATAAGAGTCACTCCCTTAGCTTTCTGCTACATCCCCTCTCTCAGTCCTTTCCCAACTCCTTCTCCACTTACACAGATCCACTTGCTCTTATAGTAGAAGATTCTGTACCCCATCTTTTCCTATTTCCTTAGGGTTATCATTCCACTGTTCATCTCTGCTCTCTCCCGTTGCTTTACGCTTCTTCCACCTACTGGCTTTCTCTTTCAAAATATAAATGTGGGGCTTCCCTGGTGGTGTAGTTGTTGAGAGTCCGCCTGCCGATGCGGGGGACGCGGGTTCGTGCCCCGGTCCGGGAAGATCCCACATGCCACGGAGCGGCTGGGCCTGTGAGCCATGGCCGCTGAGCCTGCACCATCCGGAGCCTGTGCTCCGCAACGGGAGAGGCCACAACAGTGAGAGGCCCGCGTACCGCAATATAAATGAATGAATGAATGAATGTGTTCAGGATCTTCTCTCCTTCATGGGATCCCCTTCCCCAGACACTATTGGCTGTGCTCTCCGTTTGAAACAGTCCCCTGGTATTTCCTGCTGTAAATCTCTTACCTCTCTTCCTCATCCTCCTCTTTCTTCTTCTTCTCCTTCTTTCCTCCAATAAACACATGAACATTTTTCAGGCGTCTGTCCTCCACCCTTTCCTATTGTTATCCTGGGTCATCTCATACAGAGGTGAGAGTCACAATGTTTAACAGCTGGCACAATTGGGCACTGACAAATCAGACCAGGTACTGGCCATGAGCATGAGATTTAGTTGTGCCAGAGCATGCCAGCTGAGCATTAGTCCTGACTCCATGGCGTCCACAGTCACCTTTGTCCCTGGTCTGTGCCTCTTACCCCAAACCTCTTTCATAAATCAGAGTGGACACACTCACTTGGACAAATGTCAGGCACCATAAGTTCAAGATTTCCAAAACTGAGCTCTTCTTTTCCTCTTCTCTCCAAATGTTTCTTCTCCTGTACTCCCTGTGCTTCTGTTGATAGGGAATGGCACCCTACTCTACCCCAAGCAAATTGGTCTTACCACTGTGATCTTGGCTCCCTTTTCTACCTTTGTTGCAGTGAGAAGAATACAAGTCTTAAGCTGAGAACTTCCCTGCTAAAATCCTACAATGGCCTCCTGCTACTTTTAGGATAAAATTCAAACCCCAGGGCATACAAGGCTCTTTAGGTTCTGGCCTCTGCCCACCTCTTTAACCTGACCTCAGCGCTTTCCTCACCACCCTTAGCCCTTTGTTCTCTCCATTCCATGCTAGATGAACCCCAAATACCAGCCCCAAAGAGTCATGTTCATTTTTGTCTTGTACCTTTCCTCGTCATCTCTCAGCTACCTGGTCCATCGTCATCACCACCAACTCACCATGACCTCTTTGATAGAATAGCTCCTACGTATCTTTAAAAACTTAGATAAGCCATTTCTTTTAGGAAGACTATCTTGAGCTCCCCACCATCCAGTTTGGGTTAAGTGTACTCCCCCCCGCTCTCATCACTCCTCATGATTGCCTCTTCCTTCTCACTTAGCAGAAGTTCCTGTATCTCTCTATTTACCTCTCGGACTCTTCCCTGCAGCGTGAAGTCCTTGAAGGAAGTGCTTTGCGCTCAGTAGAAGCTCAACAAGAGTTTATGGACTGAAGGGCTGATGACACCGAGCAGGAAGATTATAAATGATGAACACCAACACATTGGGTCTGTTCATTGTTACTCTGTGGATGGTGTTTATCATTTGAAAAGACTTGAAATTAGCAATGCAGAGAACACTGCCTGGTCTTTGTTCAGTGTTTGGAGAAAGTATCAAGACACACAGAGTGTCCCTCAGGAATTTCTGAGAATCTAAAATCGATTAGAGGGCTCTGTGAACACCTGCTGCCTTCTCCTGGGTACCCGTGGGTGCGTAATTAATCTTGACTGACTGACTTCATCTTTCTCTGTGTTTTGCCAAAACATGCCCATATGCTTTAAGTTACTTTTATTTGCCACTGTCCTCCTGTCTGCATTTTTCTTTCACGGAGTAGGAATTGCAGCAAAATGTTTGTAAGTTATATTCTCTAATCATCTTGTTTGATGTTTTTAGTGCTTTCTCAAATCCTACTTCTCTTTTAATCATTTCAGTAAAATGAAATAATTAATTTTTATATGCTTCTCTGTTGCCCTGTAATTTTGTTACATCAAAAATATGTTCTAGACACAAATTATAATTTAGCTTGTTTTTCTGGATCCTGTATTGCCTGTAACCATTTGATTTACACTATTAGAGAGGGATGCTACACTTTCTAGAGGCCCAAGCCTCTGTGTCTCTGGTGACATGGGAGTGGTGGGAAACAGGTGGGGAAAATACAATCTGTGAGTTACAAAGGGAGAGGTCAGCAGAGGAGGCAAAGTCATTTGGAGCAGCTTTAACCGCCACAGTAGTAAAGGACTCTTTCTTCAGGGACACCATGCAAATTATTGTCCAAATTGTGGTTAAAGCATTTCCCCCCTGGCCCTTATATTTTTATTTAATCTCTTCTCACCATTGCCGCCCTGCCCAAGGGAGATTCACAAATGGAAAAAATGAATTTCTCAAATTCTTAAGATAGAAGTTCAAGCTTATTGTATTAGAGCATTTTATTTTTGTTTTACAAATACTGTTGGTGGTAATTTAAATGTTGCTTATGATTGAAATGCAAAGTAACTGTTTTTCCATCTTGAGATCCTTGCTGGGGTTTCCTGAACTTGTTATCTGTCTCAGACCATTCTCATGTTCTCTCTTTCCAGAGCTGGTCACCAATAGACCTTGTGTTGTATTGTAAATGGCAAGGCTGGTGTTTATTCATTTCATATTATCATTAAGGAATGTAAGGAAATCAGCACTTACTGGTCACACAGAGTGCTAAAGCAGAGCTACGTGCTTTATATATGCTATATCTCATTTTAGTTCCCACCATAATCTAGTGATGAAGAGATTATTTTCATCCTGTTAGATTAGTACACAGGGGTTCAGAAAGCTTAAGTAATTTGATTGGACCAACAGACCACAGAATGGGGTGGGGGGGGAGCCTGGATTTGAACCCAATCAAGGTTGCTTTGGGAAGCCCATTATTATTCTACTCTACAAGGCTACATCCTATTGTGACTAAGGAGTATCACAAAATTTAGTATTTAATTTCTTTTTTATTCTTGTTGATTTTTTTCTCTTAAAAATTTCACCGTGGTTCCTAATGGATTCTCTGTGTCTCTTGTAAACTGCTTTGGAGGGTACTGTATGTACACATAAACGTACATGGTTATGCATGAGAAATGAGAGATAGTTTTGTTGATACGTTAGAATATTTAACCAATAGCATTTTCTACTGAGGATTTTTCTCTTTTCTGTGTTCCCAATTTGAGAGTTTTATAAAATAGTCTCTATCTTACAAAATCAAAATGTACCAACAAATGGCTTCTCTTCACAAATGTTGGAGTAGTTGACATGGTCCCAATTCTTCTGTCCTCTATCGGTCCTCATCTCCTTCCCACCTTATTTTCCTTTACTTGCCATTGTGTTCCCCTCCAACTTGGTGTCAACTGAAACCAGTTCCTAGAAGCTGATTCCACCCCTCCTGCATCCTTCTCTTTTGGGAGTCAGCTTCTCTTCTTTCAGTGAAACCTTTCTCTACCTGCTGTAATCTCTGATCTCTTTTTAGTCGGGACTACACAGTTGAAACAGATAAAAGTTAAGGGATTGTTAGCAGTATTTCTACAACTAAATTACAAGAGCAAAGACTTTGATTACGAGGTTTTATCTTTTTCAAACTCATCTGCGGTGGCTGGACAATGCTGGTATATGGTGAGCCCTCAAAAAACACTTCCAGATTGTTGGTCAGGGCTGCCTATGTGGCTGTACAGATACAAGGACTATACAAAATGGTGTGTTTACCAGTTGTGGGTTTCCACGTCATGCACTTTGAAAATGTCCAACCCAGTGAGTGGAGTGAGAGGCCTGCTGTCTGCCGGGCACATGTAGATTAGGAGTCTTCAGTGAAGCAAGTCTCCTTAATACCAGGAATACTTTGGCATTATTAGTGCCAAGTTAGTTAGATGATGTGATGTAAATCGTAAGCAGGGTCTCAAGTTACTCAAAGATCTTTTTAGCCTTATTGTTCTTCTGTCCTAAACAAAGCCAATGCTTTGGCCTCCTAACACCTGCTTTGTGCCACCCAACCCAATCACAGCCTTTTCTCCATTTTCACTTGCTGAAATTCTTTAAGGCCTCTGTGTGTTCCCAGAGCATCCCATAGTTCTGCTAGCAAAGCACTTAAAACAATTTAAATTATGCACATGGCTGGATAATATATCATAGCCTCCCTGGGAGGCTATTATGTACTCATTTCTTCAGAGGAGCCATGTGGAGAGCAGAAAGCAAAAGGCTTCTTCAACATTTTGGAGGTAGAAGCGTTTCCCCCGTAGCAAAATTTGCTGTTGTGCTCACCAAAACCTGTTTCTTTTTTCTCTTGGGCATAACAGCTAAATGATATTTTTCAGACTCACCTGTAGTCAGATGAGACCATAACTAAGTCTGACTTATGGAATATTGATGAAAGTGATCTGTGCCTCTTCCATACCTGGCCCGTAGAAACCTCCCAAGCAATTTTCCACTCTCCATCTCTCTTCCTCTGCTGGCTACAAGGAGAGCCACTAAGGACCTAGAGGACAGTGGAGCCACGGAAGGGAAGGAGGAAGGGAAGGAGAATAGGTCCGTGAATCACCATATGGGAGGTTTCCTGCTGCCTGATTCCAGTGAACTATTTAATGAGGGGATGGAGGATGGAGGTGGGGGACAGAAAACCCTGATACAGACAGGGTTGTGGAACCTTAAAACGAATGTGGAGACCAGGTTGGTAGGAGAACTCTACAAAAGGAACATGTATGTTCCCCAAACACCATGCAGCCCGGGTCAGGCACACGACAGACAACTGTCTGTGGGCCAGGGGCCACTTCTCAGTGGTGACTGCAGAGGCCGATACCAAGTGTCAGAGGGAATGCTGGATGTTTCAGCAGATGCAGATGGGCAGGTAACTGCAGGTGGCCTCAAGGGACAGTGTTCCCCTTCCCAACCCCTCCCTAGCAACTCTTCAACACTTTGTAAGACCCACCTCCAAAACTATATGCAGCCTGTGGAAAGAGGAGGCCTCAAATGGGCTGAGATGACGTTTCTGCTACGCTGGGGGATTGGGAGCTGGAAACAGAAAGTAGGTTAAGTTATAAATTAAGAAATGTGTATATTTTTCACCACTGAGTATAAGGACGAAGATTCATCCTGACTCCCTCGTTTGCTTGCCTGTCTTTCCTGCTGTGCTGTGAGCTCCGTGAGGCCAAGCCTGTCCGGTTCACCAGGGGTCCCCAGTGCCCAGCGCATGGTAGGTGCTCAGTGACTACGTATGAATATGTGAACAAATGAGCAGTCTGTGGGTGAGAGGATGGTCCCATTTCTGTCTGTCAGTGGTGGCTGTGGGAAATAACTTCACATCATCAAGAGCAGAGGACCAGGTTGAGAGAGCCTTCTATTGGGGATTTCGTCCTTTCCTTTTAAATGTCAAAAAGCTAAATGTCACTGAATCTATTTCCTGGGAGACTATGTTAGCTCCTGGGTCTTAAAATAAAAATTACCAACGACAGAACACTGTCATCTTTGTGAAGGCTTCCTTTCATTCACATTTAACTGTTAGGGTCCTAAGTTCAGCAGACAATAAGCAGATTCAGTGGCAGGCTTCCACTGTGATATTTGTTTTTATAAAAAACGAGCTTATGCATTTCATATACTGTCTCTCCTTCACTCTGATTTCAATCATAATGATCACAAGCAAGTACCAACAGTGTTTTTATATGAGCTGGAAATACTACATTTGTTAATGATTTGAGAGGTTATTTTTGATGTATGATGATTTAAGATAATTTCAATAATGGGTTTTCATTTTACATGATAATTATAATCATGACAATAATTATTAATGTTGTCATGGTGAGGACCGTGTATTGAGTGCTTACTTGGAATATCAGTTGTTTTTTAGGTACTTTTGAGCCTATGGTTTAACTGGTTTTGAACCTATCCTCAGAGGAGGAGGTCCCTTCCCCATCCCTCTTGGGATCAATCTTGAGAGGCGTGCAGGGGCAGCAGAAACTCCCAGAATGATCTAGAGGAATCAGAGTATTGGAGGCTGGTGCCTCATCCTTGTTCCCACCATAGGCTGGGAAGTCCCAAGACTAAGACAATCTGTAAGATCAAGGTGGTAGAGTTGAATGGTGGCTCCCAAAGGATATGTCCTCCCAGAACCTCAGAATGTGACTTTATTTAGAATTTAGACTTAATGTAAGAATCTTTAGATCAGGTCATCCAGATTAGGTTGGGCCCTAAATCCAATGAGTGTCTCTATAAAAGACAGAAAAGGAGAGATACAGAGAGAAGAAGGCCATGGGAAGATGGAGGCAGAAATTGGAGTTTAAGCCTTAAGCTAAGGAACGCCGAGGGTTGTCTGTAGCCACCAGAAGCTTGGAGAGAATCATGGAGCAGATTATCCCTCAGAGCTTCCAGAAGGAACTACCCCTTGAAACAACACCTTGATTTCAGATTTCTGGCCTCTAGGACTTTGAGAGGATACATTTCTGTTGTTTTAAGCCACCCAATTTGTGATAATTTGTTACAGCAGTCCTAGGAAACGAATACAAGAACGGAGCCACTATGATAGGAGGTTCCTGGAGCTGACAGCTGCAGCAGCTGTGCTCTGATTCCCTGAAGTGTTGGCCATTTGCCTGTTTGCTCCCAGTCTACCTCAGCCTTTTGTGCTCTCTGTTGTCGGGGGCATGGAGATGGCAAAAACTACTCTTGGAGATTCCCTCTCCACCTGGTGCCTAATTAGCTTCAGCCAATGGATGGTGTTAAAAAAACAAAATTCAACTGAGGAAATTTTAAAGATCTTAGTGGTTGTAGTCAACTATTCATGAATCAGGCAGCATCCCATCTAGCAGAAAGAAAAGAACTCTGGGGAGCTGTACAAAATCAAAGACTTGCATAGGTAGAATGGAGTGAGAACAAGGCAGTTACACTAGTAAAAAGTGGATTGGCTGTGACAAGGTCCCTTTCTTTTAGGGGGAGGCAGGGTCTATCAGGGAGATGACCTCACTAGTGCTGATCAGGTGATTCCTGATTGACTGGGTTTATGATTCCATTGCTGGAAGAGCCAAAACTGTAACTAAGTCTTAAGTCTCAGTTTGGTGCCGTGGGGCTTAGCATATGCTAAGTGACTTCATTTGGGGCCTGTTGTCTTGTTTTTAACACTGACAGTGTCAGACGACTGGCAAGGCAGGGATCGGGAATAAGTGAGCTCCATCTGTCTTCCAGCGTCTGGAGGCGAAACGGTGGTGTCGGCAGTGGCTGAGGCTGCTCTAGCGGCAGCAGTGGGCGGAAGGCGGGCTCTGGCTCCTGTACAGGTGCCTCGGCTCCAGCAGGGACCTCAACGGCACAGGGATCCTGGGCTCTGGGTCATGCTGTCTCCCCTTCTGCTCCTCCAGCTATGGGCAGCCATGGTTTCCTGCACTTATGGATCTTTGGGGGAACTTATTATCTTCTTTCGTCTTTCCAGCCATTCTAACGCCCTTGCAACCAATGCCTGTGTTAAATTTTCTCTGTTTGAAATGTCAAGAGAAGTTTTGTTTGTTTGTTTGTTTTCTTTTCCTCCCTGATTGAGCCTGACTGGTACACCTTACTTCCAGCTGTGGCAGAGAATGCTGCCCCCTGGCAGGCAGCTCAGCAGAGCTGTTCTGGGAAACATTTATGAAGCCTCCATCTAAAGACTCTCCTTCAGCCCTTCTTCTCAATTTTTCAGGAAATACCAAATTTCCGACACTAAAACCCCTTCTGCTTAGATTAGCCACAGTGATTCCCATTCTCTGCAACTAAACCAACCCTGACTGAAACAACAAGATTCTAGGATCCAAAGGCTTGGTCATCTTTCTAATACTATGTCTCTAAAGCATCTGTACACCCATCTTTCTGGCCCAGCATGGCGCTGTGGCTAGCAAGTCACACATACCTTCTGGTGACCAGAGATCCAAAATCTAAGAGTGGCTGCTGACTGCTGGTGAGGACACAGGGCAGACAGGTCAAGAGGGTTTATGGGCTTCACTTTGTTGGGTATTTGTGATCACAATGATCAGTTTCAGGGGGGTCATTTGGAGGTGGTTTCTTTATTTTGCACACATTGACAGTAAAAGAATGTGTGGCAGATAGGCACACAAGTTTTAGTCAGACAGATCTGAGTGAATCCAGCTCCTCCATGTGTGGCCAGGAGTTCTCAGTTTTCTTATTGGAATAGGAGTAAAATGTCAGCAACAACTTTGGAAGATTCTTGTACAGGATTAAGTGAGATAACCTATGTATACATATAGAGCATTTGGCTTGGTGACTGGCATATAGGAAGTATTCAATTTTTTAAAAATAGCTATTTTGTTCCTAACTTTGCAACATGGTTTTGCTTGTAGGTGTACTTTTAAGAACATGGAGGTGTAAATTAGTAATTTAACCAAGTCCACCAAACTTTGATGAGACTGCCTGGGCCGGGGCCAGTCTGTGCCACCTCCTGAGATACAAACCCAGAAGTCTGCTTTCAGGACTAGACGAGAAAACGCCCACTTAACTCCTGCCAGCCACAGTGATGATTGGTTGTTCAGGAAAGAGCATGAAGGAGCACATTAGAAGGAGCCTAAGTGTACTCTGGGCTAGTTTCATCCATAGCTTTTTCCCAAAAGGCAAATGTGATTACAGAAGACTGTGAAAGCTTGCTGATGTGTATGTTCCTCTTTTTGAACAGAGTGCAAGTTTTGACTTTGGGGACCATTTTCTAGGAAAGTCTCCCTGAAACTAGTTGCTGTTTCTGGGGATATGACTCCCAGGAATCATTCTTAGGAGGGATTCTGAAGAGAAGAATTTGAACACCAGGGTGGTCAAAGGGCTGCCTGGCCCGTTATGTGGGAACCTTGTTTTCTCTGTAACGCGCTGCTGATGGCCTACTCAATGGTTGTTCCCCCTCCTCCTTTCTAACAGAATTCGGTTTTATTTGGACTGCAGCTTGTGATGAGTCATGAATGAGCTAAGTCAATTACAGCAATCCTGTTCCCCTTTGCCAGTGATTGGTTTAGGGGGTCTAGCCAGTGATATAAGTCAGGTGGGGATTTCTAGGGGGCTTCTGCTGCAGGAGAGTCACCCCATCCTTCCTGCTTTGGAACTTTTCATGTACAGTTGTGATGCTTGGAGATGTTGCAGCCATGTTGCAACCATAAGGTCATGAGAATCCCAGACATGAACATGTAGAGCTCTTACATCACTGATCCACTGACCCCACCCCGAAAGTGCCTACCTTCAGACTTTTTGCTAAGTGAGATTATAATGAAGGGGCTAATTTGTTAGGCTGCTTTGATCCTGATTCAGTCTGGTGCAGTTTGATGTCTTAGTTAGAATTTGAGAATATGATTTAGTACAAGATCTAGTTGGTAATTTCTGGTTAAGTGTTGATCTCAAATTTTCCCAATTTTACTCTCTGTACTGGACTGTGCTTTATAAAATATGGCAAAGGAGTTTGACTCCATATCTTCTGTCTCTTAATCAGCTAGTACAGAAGAAGACTGAGCAGAGTGTGGCTGCTTTTGAGCCTGGTGTGTCTCCGGTTAACAGGTTTATTCACACAATTGTATTGGGACAACAGAGATTTCCATACTGAGAGTCTTCAGTTATGTTATCCGTACCGTAGTTCCTTGTAGACAGCGTCATGCTTGCTGCCATAACCTCAATAATTGGTTCTACCAAAACAACAACGAAAAAACCCCCAAACCAAAAAACCTCACAAAAAAATCCAAATGATATCTTCCTGATGATTATTATTTTTTTCTTTATATTGGCTCTTTACAGTGTTTCTTTGCCATCCTGTTTTTTTTGGGGTTTTTTGTTTTTTTTTTATTCTTGAAATCTGCTACATGCTTGACACAAAAACTGTGTTTCGCTTGTCCTAATAGCTCATTACTTGACGTGGGAAAAAAATCTCAAATGCAGACTGATTAACAGCATAAGCTTACAAGTTACCACGCACACATGGAGCCACACGTCTTCAGTGAAAATATTTCATGGAATTACATAAATTCACAAAGAAGCTTAAACCATATATTTGGGGAGAAGAGGAAGCAGGCTTCCTGTAGGAAGACCCTAGATACCTCTTTTTAACCATTCTAAAGACCTTTTTATATGTTTATAGCCTTGGCATATTTTAGAGTCAATAATGGGCTGTGAAGCTGCTGGAATTTTTGCTCAAATAACCTGACTGGATGTACATTTTTAATAAGTTTTATAAAAAGTTATTATAAACCAACAATA